AGAGGTTACCAAGGGTCACCCTTCCTCATTCTCCCAGATCTTTATCACCTACTGCCCCACCCTGAACCTGGGCCATAAAGCTCAATCAGTCGTGTCCCTTCTGTGTCCCCTCTCCCAGCCCTATTTACTGCCAGCTCCCTAGTTCATGGACATCTGCTACCTCTCCCCCAAGGACATGCCCATTCTCCCTGCCAGTCGGAGCCCCCCACCCCACCCCTGCTTTAGGAGCCAGGCGGAGCCCCTTTCCTCCCACAGGACGCCTTCCCTGCTGAATGGTCAGTCTGTCCTGCAGCCATCGTGGTCCAGTGACCTCAGCACTCCTGTGATCACACCCTTCCCCCAGTGACTCATCTGTTGTTATGGTAAGCTACGGTGTACTGTTTATCATTGTCACTTTATGTCCTTGAAAACAGAGTCCCAGGCTACCTATAGCCCTGTCTCAGCCGAAAGCAGCTCCACATGCAGGTTTTGCAGCATCCACGCAGCCGATCCTGTGTGGTCTCTGGCCTGGGCTGGTCCAGGGGACTCCATTTTCCAGCGGCTGGGTCCCCAGATCCGCCCCCAGCCCAAGCCAGCACTGCCCCAGCAGGAGTCAGGCCTGAATGTGTGTAGGCTGGACTCCCTCCCCGCCCCCAGCCAGAATGCCAGCATGGCCACTTTCTAGAGGCTGAGAGGCCTGGGCCCAGGGCCCAAAGCCTTCCCTGGGGCCTGTCTGGTGTCAACCACCAGCCCTCAGCTCCAGCCTGGCAACTGGAGTGTCCTAGAACCAGCTGGTGTTTCCTCCCTGTTCTTCCACACAACCTAAATGTCACCCTCCTTGTTGAAGCTCCCCTGAAGACCACGGATATCTCCCTCCCGTCCTGCACCCCATCGGGTCCTGCCCCACTGCAAGCACTATACAGAGGAGTCATGAAGAGAGTGGCCCCAAGAGTCCCACACACTTGGTCCGAGTCTTGTTCCTCCATGCGCTACCTGCGCTCTGTGACATTGGCAAGTTACTTAACCTCTCGGAATCAAGTTTTCCCTCAGTGAAACAGGAATGATCTGTGTAGTACCCCGTTGTCACGGTTGTGAGGTTGTCAGCAGCTTAGTACAGTGCCTGGCTCAAATGATGTGCCCTACGAATGGTGGCTGTCACCAGCGACCAGCAACTTCCCTTCCCTGCAGCACTAAGCACAGTGCAGGGCACGCAGTCCACCTCCCAGGCCCTAAGGTCTGGCTGGAGCCAGGCACATCTCAGGAAAGAGTTAAACATCCGCAGTGACTTCATCCCTGCCTTGGAACAGGAAGGAGGCAGAGAAGGTAACAAAATCAGGCCTTAGCCCGATGGAATTTTCCAGTGCTCATTAACAGGACCAGTCAGTTTGCTAAGGGAGGTCACCATGGAAACGGTCCTGTGCGCCTGCTTCTGGTTATTCCAACCTGGCTCCAGGAGGATGACACAGGCTCCAGGCCTCTTCATTGGCTGCCACCCTCCTCTTGCCACCGAATCTGGCAGGAGATTGGCCAAAGGCAGTTGCTGGGCTGGAGTTAGACCCCACCCCCACCCCCCTATACCCGGAACCTGCTGGAAGCTGTTATTTTGAACCTGAGGAAGAGGAAAATAGGCTGCCAACGATGTTGCCATAGCAACCGATTTCCTTTCTACCCTCCTTGGAGTTAGTAGTTGACTTCTTTGTAGCTGAAGTACTTTTCCAAGGGCAGAGGGGATGTCAGCCATTTTACACTGACTTAACCTTCTTTATTTATTTGGCAGAGAGAGGCACGGTGAGAGAGGGAACACAAGCAGGGGGAGTGGGAGAGGGAGAAGCAGGCTGAGCAGGGAGCACGATGCAGAGGGAACAGAAGAATATGTTCCCTCTGCATATGTCGCCTGACCTTCCTTTGAACAGGAACTCCCTCATCTTCCAGAGTAAGGGAATTTCTGAACCTCTACTTGTGGCCTTGGTTACTAATCCCCCTCTGGGGGCCTTGGTTTCTCCTCACAAAAAGGGGTATTCATTCCAGGACTCACTACTTCTAGGGCTGGAGTAAGGCTCCCCCTGGACCAAGTTTGCAAATGCTCACTGTAAACTGTAAAGCTCGATACAGTTGCCTTGTGTCTTTAATCGACCGGTATTGACATCAGCTGAGTACGGAATGACCCTGTGAGGTAGAGTCGGGGGCCCCACAGACAGGGGCCCCTCAGGAGTCTACTTCTGTCGCCAACTGCCTTCTGGAACCATCAGCAGTTCACATAGCCCCCCCAGGGACTCATTTTCTCTTTGTGTAAAAGGATTCTTCTGTAGATGATCTCGAGAGGCCTTTTCCAGCTCTGACATTCCATGATCCTAAGTTAAAGGCCTGCCTGCTTCCCACAATAAATCTGTGGAACTCATCATCCTCGTAGGAGGTAAAAACACAGGCAACTGCCCCACACCCAGCACTTTCTATGTGGCAGGCACCGCACATGCATTAGGTCAACCTTCACAACAACCTTAGAAGGTGGGTATCATTATTATAGCACCTACCCATTTTACAGATAAGGAAACTGAGGCCCCAAGGTCACACAGCCAGCAAGCGGCAAGGTCGAGATTTAAAGCCTGGTGGTCTGGCAGCAAGTCCATGCAGCAACTGAAACGAAGGTATAAAAGGTATAAAACGGGCCAATTAAGAGTAGGTAGAACATTGGGTGGAGCGAGCAAACCCTGGACTAGGAATCACAAGTCTGTGTTCTACTCTAGGTCCTGCTGTTGAGTCCCGCTGTGTTACCTCCAGAAAGTCACTTCCTATCTATAAAAATAAAAGGTTACACCAGATCTTTGAGGGCCTTTCGAGGTTAAACACTGAGTTTCTGAGAGAAAAATTGGCCTAGAGGAGACAAGTGACAGCCTTCCTGAGTCACAGAGCAAAGTAGGTACAGCCTCAAATGGCCTGTCCACTAGCTTTGATCCCAGCTTCCAAAAAACATGAGGTTTGGGAAGGACTGTTTGAAGCTGGGGCCCACAGACCAGTACCAGTCTTTGGTAGTGTCTGCTATGATTTTTCCAGAAAGTAAAATACAATCTGTCTTAAGACTGGCCTTTTTTTCAGAGATTAAGCCCTCCCTGCTTTTTCGGTGTTATAAAATCCTTTTTCTAATGAAATGATGGTGATAGTGGATGGTAGCTATTTTATTGTAATGTTCTTACTTGGGAAATGTTGGCTAATTGGGGAAAGTTGACTAACCTTATGTCAACATATTATGGAAAATTTCAAGATTTTATTTTTTAATTTTTTAAGTAAACTCTATGCTCAACATGGGGCTTGAACTTGCGACCCCAAGATTAAGAGTCGTATGCTCTACCAACTGAGCGAGCCAGGCTCTCCAATTGTGGAAAATTTCAAACATAAAAACAAGTAATAAGAATAGTTTAATGAATCCCCCCATTACCCTTGTTACTCTTCAACAATTACTAGCCACTGACCAGTTTTGTTTCCCAATCCCCCAATACCTCCATGCCGAGTTATTCTAAAGCAAATCACAGACATCATATAAATCCATCTGTAAAAAAAAATAAATTAAATAAATTTAACATAACCACATTAGCATTTTCACACTAAAAAAATTAACAATACTTCTTTAATCTTCAAATATACAGTTTGTGTCAAATTTTTTGCAGTTGGATTGTTTAGTCCAGATTTATACAGTCCACGTTTGCTTTGATTATATGTCTTTTTTTTTTTAAGATTTTATTTATTTATTTGACAGAGAGAGACACAGCGAGAGAGGGAACACAAGCAGGGGGAGTGGGAGAGGGAGAAGCAGGC